GAAATGAACTCAATTAGGATACCACGTCTTACTTCCCACCGAACAGACGACCTCCATTGATAGATACGGGTTGTTCCATTAGAAGAAAAGCCTTGCTCCAACGGGTAATTAGACTCGGGAATCCTTACATACTCATTTTATAGACGAGTGTGTGATCTGGGACCTTATCGAATGCCTTCATGAAGTTTTAATAGAGTTGATCAATGCATTTTCTCTCATCAAGGATTTCCATCTACTCATCAATCACTTGTATTAGTTGTGATACAATGGGTGAATCAATTTGTGTTCTACCGAATAGTTTGTTCTGTGTGAATAATTGTCTGTCCTTTCTTGAAATTCGCAGTTACATTTATTTGTCTCCAATCCTCAGGTACCGGTTAAAATATTGGATATAACGGACAATGGCTGGCTTTTTATGGAACTTAATTATGTGGGCCTGGAGATTTCGAAATTTAAAATTTTCCAAAATTTGACGAAAGGATACGGATTTATTTCAACGTTTCCCATCATATTAGCTATAGTACAGTCTACAATGGAAATGTTGTTTCTAGTTAATTTGTAAATACAGCAGTGAAAACAAGTTCTCCTTCACCTGTTTTTCTTAGTTACGTTTGATAACATGGTCATCACCACTTTCGTTCGATACTTTAGAAAATATTTTGGTTGCAGACTGAGCATAAATCCAGAATGGCGTTGGATTCATTAGTTTTTCGTGTGTCCTTTTTGCTTTACAAGTCGATTTCCTCACCCTGTTCAGTACCTGACAGTAGTCTTGTTGTATTCCATCGTTCCGTGTATTTAAGTTATATATTAAGTTATAAGTATTTCAATTATAGCAAGGGTTTTTCTAACCCCGTGACGCTCCTTTTTCATACTGGGATATATCGACAGCACTATATCAATATATCCAACTTTATTCTTCTTGGCCATGTTGAGATAAACAATAAACCTGAACAGTAACACTGAGTGATCAATTTCAATTCCTAATGGTACCTGACTTTTTTTTGTTTTTTTAATTTGATTGTGAAACAAACAATGAAAACACAGGTTATATCTACCAAATGTTTTATTTGTGTTTATACAGTATAAAACATTGCTATGTAATTCTACCATCTGTCCCTGTGGACAGAAAACTGTGAAACAAACGCCGAAGGTTCGAACTTTCTAGTGTGTGACCCCCGGGACGACAGTTTCCATAGTGATATTCTGGGTTACTGTAACAGGAAATGGCCCCGGCATGCCACAAATCAATAGACCTGACATTAAATTTCAGTATAAATACATGTATCTAAATTTATCAACAAAATGACACGGAACATTTTCCTAACTAGACCCGATTGCGAAACAGAATATATCAACCGCTCCCAAAGCAGCCTAGCTATTTAACTACGGCCTAACCATCACAACACTGGAAAGTCAGGGTCGCTTCGTCCCAATAAAAAATGTTCTGGGTTTTCGGAGTAATTTTCAGTTTATGTGTTAGCCGAAGTACACTTTCTTATGAGAAACTCAAAAAAACTGATCGAACCAGATTTTTAAAAAATTCAACTCTTCAAAGTTCTCCGGAATAAACCGTAGTTTCTGTTACAAGGAATGGATCATGAATGAACTTAGCCGAAACAGGTGTTTCTGGTCCGTTTTTTTCTCATGCATAGCGACGAGGTAGAAATAACAATCGTTATTGCTGTTCAAAATATCTCACCTTTTTAAAAAAAACTCGTTCTCACTATAAACGAGTACCAAGTGAATATTCTTACGTGTTATCGACAAATTAACAGTGATTAAAAAAAAAAAGATCAAAGATAAATGGCGGCCATTCAAATCACCCGTCACGTGATCAGATCGACCAACCACAGATTCTGTTGTAGCTGAATGCATACATTGAATCATGAAAGTAGATCATGATGTGACAAAACTTTAAAAAGTTCACTGGAATAGATGACACAATTTTGTACCATTACTGTGTTACTAACAATGTCATATTCAACAAGTAACAGAGCCCGAACATATATTGCACGTGCCTCTAGGAGGCTGCCACGAACACGTGTATGTACATCAAAGTGTTGATCCAATAAGTAATCACAACCGTTGGGCAATAGTAAGTTTAACACATATATTGTATGACGCTATAACAACTAGATCACCACATAGTTAATGTAGAGTATACCCGTGCTATACAAATCACAATAACACTCTGCTGTACCGACAATGTCACACAAATGTACCAGGTACCAGTTACATCTCTGGTGTCACATCTAATATGAAAAAAGCAAATATCAAATAAAGTTAAAAAAAAAAAAAAAAAAAAACAGAAAATCCATTTTGTATTTCTGTCAACAAAAGATGAATATTTAAAAAATGAAACTTTATTATAACAATATATGAAGAAAATGTAAAAAAAAAAAAAATGAAAATAAAAATTCTCTGACCAGTGCTGTCTTGGGTGATAGGAGAAAACATTACATAGACATGAAACAAACTTGTATCATAATGAGTTGTTACGCGTCGGCGTATACCGTGTCATGTTCACACGTCATAATACCCACGTTATGAAAATTTAACACAAAGTACCGAAATACCCTTAAATGAGTTACAGTTACCAGAAAATGAAAAAAAAAAATACTGATTTATCACGGTACGTCGTCTTTCTTCCTATTTCTCTTGTTTCATGGTTTGTTTGTTCTATAACAGAGTATTACCTATTAACATCTCATTCCCAGTTAAATAGTGGTGTAACAAACAATGACGTCATTTGATTGATTACATCATCATGACATAATCAGTTGTTCATCAATAATGATGTAATTAATCATTACACCCGTAATAGTTTGAGATGCAAGGGAGATAACTCTGGCCTTACATCAGCTTTAGATCACGTGTTTGAGTAACTCTACTGACCAATGGTCGTAACTATATATAAATTTGATGGTGTTGTAACTTGTAACATCTGCTTACGGTTGTAAATGATACCGTCGTATAGAAACACTATTAAAATAAGAACCAAACCAATCAACGCATAAAAAAATATGATATTATATCTTACTTGCTGCGATCGAAATTTCTAAATTAACAGTGTTGTTAATATATACATAATAAGTTTATCTTTAAAAAAATCTTACGTCGCGTGCATAGAACATACAGTCCATGTTAAATTTGTTAGAGCAAGATGACCAACACTAGAGGTCACATAAACAAAATTTGTTTCTTTTACGGGGTTTGAACGTCCTCAAAACAGTCAGGGTCATTTTCACAGCAGAAATAAGAGTGTGTTCAATATTCTACGACAAATAAGGTATCTATTTCAAATGCTGTAAAAAGGAAACAAGACAAGGACTATTTTAGGATACCTACTGTAGTGTAGTCAAGGTCATATCGTAGGCATAGGGATCGTGAAAGATTAGAATTTTTAAAACAAACTGCAGTATCCTACAGAAGCTCAACAATGAAATCATACTACACCCTAATGTAATTACGTGTCTAACTAGGCTTACCGGAATCACAGACACATAACTACACGTCCCTAGTGTAATTACGTGTCTAACTAGGCTTACCGGAATCACAGACACATAACTACACGTCCCTAGTGTAATTACGTGTCTAACTAGGCTTACCGGAATCACAGACACATACCTACACGTCCCTAGTGTAATTATGTGTCTTACTAGCACTGCTGGTATCACAGACACATACCTACACGTCCCTATTGTAATTACGTGTCTTACTAGCACTACTGGTATCACAGACACATACCTACACGTCCTTAGTGTAATTACGTGTCTTACTAGCACTACTGGTATCACAGACACATACCTACACGTCCCTAGTGTAATTACGTGTCTTACTAGCACTGCTGGTATCACAGACACATAACTACACGTCCCTAGTGTAATTACGTGTCTAACTAGGCTTACCGGAATCACAGACACATAACTACACGTCCCTAGTGTAATTACGTGTCTAAGTAGGCTTACCGGAATCACAGACACATACCTACACGTCCCTAGTGTAATTACGTGTCTTACTAGCACTGCTGGTATCACAGACACATACCTACACGTCCCTAGTGTAATTACGTGTCTTACTAGCACTGCTGGTATCACAGACACATACCTACACGTCCCTAGTGTAATTACGTGTCTTACTAGCACTGCTGGTATCACAGACACATACCTACACGTCCCTAGTGTAATTACGTGTCTTACTAGCACTGCTGGTATCACAGACACATACCTACACGTCCGTAGTGTAATCACGTGTGTCTTACTATCACTACTAGTATCACAGAGACACATAAACTAGTTTTTAAAAGTGTAAAAGAGCTGTTCATACCTTGATTTTGAGATGCAAAACACCAGTTTAAGTATAAACATCGCTAACAACGATTATATTAACAAATATACTGCATCGTTTTAACCAAATATTTCTAAATATAATTTACAAATTTAAGCAATCATCCCTATATTCAGTACGTCAGAGGGCGCTTTCTGAGGATCAGAAAGCGACACCTGGTGAGTAATTAGAAGATAATGAGAGAGAGCTCGAGTGACAGCCTGCTGATCCAACTGACAGATAGAGATTGGTCAATCACATCTTTCTACACTGCTGGATACTGTGATCTAGCTTTACATACTTCGCCAGGTCGATATCACAACCCCAAAACATCTCTACTCAACTAGAAATGTATCTACAACATTAAAAATGAGTATGAATAACATTCCCTGACACTGAGAATGAAACGTGTCACTTTTTAAGCAGACATCCAACACACACACGGACATACAGACACACGGTATGACATATTATGCCAAAGATACGTTCAGTCAATTAGATAGAATGAATCTAATTACACTAGATCATATCGAACCACAAAATTTCTCCATTGTTTCCTGCATGTGACGTCACTTCCTGTAGAGGTGGTTTCTGTGGGTACATTCCCTTAGGTACGTACAGTAAGGCTATGGACGTAATGCTACATGTATGTATTCTTGCCCACGGCGTGTTTACATCACGGTACATTTGCCTTTCAACTTTTCCTTGCGTTTCTGTGATTTTGTTTTCTTTGTTTCTAATTGTAAACTCATAGTTCTTCTTTTTTCTAGTTGTAACAGTTCTTGAAACAACTCCTTCACATTGTGATTCGTCTTGGCTGAAGTCTCTAAGAAAGCACAATTCCACCGCTTTGCTAATTCCGACCCTTCTCTTTGTGGGACCTCACGGTTCGTTTCATCACATTTATTTCCCACTAACATTGTTGGTATACTTTCCATTTCACTTTTGATTTCCGCAATTTCATCGAATATTGGTTTAAGCTCCTCGAGAGATTGCCGACTTGTAATAGAATACACTAATATGAAGGCGTGTCCTTTTGAAATCGATAATCGTTGCATGGCGGGAAACTGGTGACTTCCGGTGGTGTCTGTGATCTGTAAGGTACACACCTGTTTGTTGCAGCTTATCACCTGTCTATATGTGTCCTCTATTGTGGGAATGTAACTCTCCCTGAACGTGCCCCTCACGAAGCGCAACACGAGGGAACTCTTGCCCACGCCTCCAGCCCCAAACACTACCACGCGGTAGTCATTGCTCTGTTCAGGCATAACACGCAAGCGGACGGAACGATCTTTAGGAACCTGGAAAGACAGAAAGTAGCAGGGATGAATGGAACTAGAATCATAAAGACATTTACAAAAGCAGGAAATAGTATAAATACCTTTTTTGTCTTTGTTTTAATTGTGCCAAGGACATTCGGCTATTCTTGGCATTAACGAGAACACGAATGTACTGCATTGTTTTGTCAGATGGCTTAAATGTTAACAGTTTACGACTGCCGCTAGGGGCCACTGATAATCTGTAAGATATTTCCACCAATCAGAAAGATAGGATTGGCAGAAACCGATAGTACCAAAGATTGTGACAGCCTGTGTTACGTTTAGCCTTGAAACTAACGATAAACATAAAAAAATCATTTTGTCTTATTAATATCCACCATTTCATCAAACATGTGTAATGATTAATTTGTTCCATTTCGACACGAACTATCATCAATATTTAACAACAGCCGTATCGATTTACGATGGCGTTGGGTATATCCAATTAGTAGTAAGATATACCCCGCTAGTAGTAAGATAAATCCCACTAGTAGTAAGATATATCCCACTAGAAGTAAAATTTATCCCACCAGTAGTAAGATATATACCACTAGTAGTAAGATATATCCCACTAGTAGTAAGATATATACCACTAGTAGTAAGATATATCCCACCACTAGTATAAGATATATCCCGCTAGTAGTGTAAGATATATCCCACTAGTAGTAAGATATATACCACTAGTAGTAAGATATATCCCGCTAGTAGTAAGATATATACCACTAGTAGTAAGATATATCCCACCACTAGTAGTAAGATACATCCCGCTAGTAGATATATACCACTACCACTAGTAGTAAGATATATACCACCAGTAGTAAGATATATCCCACTAGTAGTAAGATATATCCCGCTAGTAGTAAGATATATACCACTAGTAGTAATATATATCCCGCTAGTAGTAAGATATATCCCGCTAGTAGTAAGATATATCCCGCTAGTAGTAAGATATATACCACTAGTAGTAAGATATATCCCACTAGTAGTAAGATATATCCCGCTAGTAGTAAGATACATCCCACTAGTAGTAAGATATATCCCGCTAGTAGTAAGATATATCCCACTAGTAGTAAGATATATCCCGCTAGTAGTAAGATATATACCACTAGTAGTAAGATATATCCCACTAGTAGTGTAAGATATATCCCACTAGTAGTATAAGATATATCCCACTAGTAGTAAGATATATACCACTAGTAGTAAGATATATCACACTAGTAGTAAGATATATCACACTAGTAGTAAGATATATCCCGCTAGTAGTAAGATATATACCACTAGTAGTAAGATATATCCCGCTAGTAGTAAGATATATACCACTAGTAGTAAGATATATCCCGCTAGTAGTAAGATATATCCCACTAGTAGTAAGATATATCCCACTAGTAGTAAGATATATACCACTAGTAGTAAGATATATCCCACTAGTAGTAAGATATATCCCACTAGTAGTAAGATATATCACACTAGTAGTAAGATATATCCCACTAGTAGTAAGATATATCCCACTAGTAGTAAGATATATACCACTAGTAGTAAGATATATCCCACTAGTAGTAAGATGTATCCCACTAGTAGTAAGATATATCCCACTAGTAGTAAGATATATCCCACTAGTAGTAAGATATATACCACTAGTAGTAAGATATATACCACCAGTAGTAAGATATATCCCACTAGTAGTAAGATATATACCACTAGTAGTAAGATATATACCACCAGTAGTAAGATATATCCCACTAGTAGTAAGATATATCCCGCTAGTAGTAAGATATATCCCACTAGTAGTAAGATATATCCCGCTAGTAGTAAGATATATACCACTAGTAGTAAGATATATCCCACTAGTAGTAAGATATATACCACTAGTAGTAAGATATATACCACTAGTAGTAAGATATATCCCACGAGTAGTAAGATATATCCCACTAGTAGTAAGATATACCACTAGTAGTAAGATAAACATAAAATCAAATCTTGACAAAAAAATCGTTTGAAAGTGATCGCCAATCTGTGGATTATTAAATCGACCAATAATTGAACAAGACAATAGAGAATTTGATCTACAAGTTATGTACAGGCTATTAAATATAGCCTTCAGTCATAGATCTCTGCCTACACCGGGATCAATAGCCATAACACAGAAACACTATAGGGACCTCATTCATATATAATTTCAAACCATGCATGTGGTGGCCCGCGCTCTGAAATGAACTGGATTGTCTTTCTTAAATAGATATGTACCTACAGTGCAATGCAAATGACCCATTATCAGGCCTCTAAAATTATCACCTAGAAAAATGTCCCATTACCAGGAGTCAACAAATATCACCTAGAAAATTGTCCCATTATCAGTAGTCTCAAAATATCACCCAGAAAACTGTTCCATTACCAGGGGTCTATAAATATCTTCAGAAAACTGACCCATTACCAGGAGTCTAAAATTATCACCTAAAAACTGTCCCATTACCAGTAGTCTCAAAATATCACCCAGAAAACTGTCCCATTACCAGGAGTCAACAAATATCACCTAGAAAATTGTCCCATTATCAGTAGTCTCAAAATATCACCCAGAAAACTGTTCCATTACCAGGGGTCTATAAATATCTTCAGAAAACTGACCCATTACCAGGAGTCTAAAATTATCACCTAAAAACTGTCCCATTACCAGTAGTCTCAAAATATCACCCAGAAAACTGTCCCATTACCAGGAGTCAACAAATATCACCTAGAAAATTGTCCCATTATCAGTAGTCTCAAAATATCACCCAGAAAACTGTTCCATTACCAGGGGTCTTAAATATCACCCAGAAAACTGTTCCATTACCAGGAGTCTAAAAATATCACCCAGAAAAATGACCAATTACCAGGGGTCTCAAAATATCACCCAGAAAACTGTCCCATTACCATCTGTCCTGGTTAATCTCGCTTGAAACGTCTCCCAGCCCGAACTGTTTCCATCAACCCTCCAATGCTTCCAAAATATCGGTATCACACCTAAATACACTGGCGTTCTCGTCCAACCTGTTCAATAGTCTTCTCCTAGTCCTCAAACACCGCACCCAAACTATTGGCCGGTGGAACACATTTATACAGGCATTCAGTTGTTCCACACAACAATCGAATCCGTTCGTGTTTTAATTCCTTGTTGACATAAACACGTCATATATCAGTGTTTGTATAAAGAACTGACAATCAACAATTCCCTTTATCAGTTTGTATTCCTTTAGACGTCCACATAAACTATCCTCAATAATGATACTTATCAAACAACATTGATATCATTCACAAAGGATCAATATTTCAACATTTACCACCACACCGAAATATTGGTGTCATCATTAATGAGAATTTCCTTAGTCCCGATAACAAGGCAACATGTCATGTCAGCAGCTATCACCGATATACAGAGGTCTGCTCACACCGACAGTATCAAGCTAAATGACGCTGTAGTCGATATTGATGTAAAATCTGTGTATTTATAGACAATTGACAGTGAATTGACTGAGAGAACGACCCGCCCTTGGAACTTAATGGGGGCGAAACATGAATGAAGTAATAATTGATTATCAGCTCACAGTCTTCATACAACTGTGTCGTACCAGTCATTGACGGTGTACCACGGTCTCCATGATTCCACTGTCAGTCTACAGTCTCCGGACAACTGTGTGGTACCAGTCATTGGCGGTGTACCACGGTCTCCATGATACCACTGTCAGTCTACAGTCTCCGGACAACTGTGTGGTACTGGACACTGACGGTATACCACGGTCTCCATGATACCACTGTCAGTCTACAGTCTCTGTACAACTGTGTGGTACTGGACATTGACGGTGTACCACGGTCTCCATGATACCACTGTCAGTCTACAGTCTCCGGACAACTGTGTGGTACTAGACATTGACGGTGTACCACGGTCTCCATGATACCACTGTCAGTCTACAGTCTCTGTACATCTGTGTGGTACCAGTCATTGACGGTGTACCACGGTCTCCATGATACCACTGTCAGTCTACAGTCTCCGGACAACTGTGTGGTACCAGTCATTGGCGGTGTACCACGGTCTCCATGATACCACTGTCAGTCTTCAGTCTCTGTACAACTGTGTGGTACCAGTCATTGACGGTATACCACGGTCTCCATGATACCACTATCAGTCTACAGTCTCCGTACAACCGTGTGGTACTGGACATTGGCGGTGTACAACGGTCTCCATGATACCACTATCAGTCTACAGTCTCCGGACAACTGTGTGGTACCAGTCATTGACGGTGTGCCACGGTCTCCATGATACCACTGTCAGTCTACAGTCTCTGTACATCTGTGTGGTACCAGTCATTGACGGTGTACCACGGTCTCCATGATACCACTGTCAGTCTACAGTCTCCGGACAACTGTGTGGTACCAGTCATTGGCGGTGTACCACGGTCTCCATGATACCACTGTCAGTCTACAGTCTCCGGACAACCGTGTGGTACTGGACATTGACGGTGCACCACGGTCTCCATGATACCACTGTCAGTCTACAGTCTCTGTACAAATGTGTGGTACTGGACATTGGCGGTGTACAACGGTCTCCATGATACCACTATCAGTCTACAGTCTCCGGACAACTGTGTGGTACCAATCATTGACGGTGTACCACGGTCTCCATGATACCACTGTCAGTCTACAGTTTCCGTACAACCGTGTGGTACTGGACATTTAATATTAGAGGTTCTCAATTTACAAGCTGATCTTTATTTATGTTTTGATAACATTAGTATGAACACATGTCTGTTATACAAATAAGACAACTGTTTATTCCACATAACCCTAGTATCATGGGTAATTTCTTGTATGAAATGTACACGTTTTGGCAAATACTAGCAAGTTCTTTGAAAAACTCGAAAACATTGTCATTGTAGCATTCAATGTGTCTACCATGTATAGCGAATATATACTGAATTCAAACTCTGACTTCGTGTAAAATACTTTGAATA